AAAAGACAGTATGAGGAATGGAATTGGGTTTTTTTTTTAAGAGGAGGAAAAAAATATTTTGCCCTGAAGTTGGTTGTTTCTAGATGAGGAAAAAACAAGGGACAAACTAATGTGTATACAGAGGATTGTGGAAGGTTGGGGGATGGGGGAAGCTCTGGGAAAGGAGTTTTGTGCATGGTTGGGCTGAGATTGAATTGAACTTGGTTGGGTAAATGGATTTTGTTATTAAAGGTAGGCTGGTGCAGAACTAGATTTGGTTCCTCTCTGAAGAGAACAAGTTTACTTTTTATGCTGCTTTTGATAACAGATTATGTGACTTCCTTGCATTTTAAGTGATCCATATTTGCTTTTGAAATCTTTGTCACTTTAAGTGAGTAAATATTCACAGTGACCTATGATTCTATCTGACCAAATATTTTAAAAAAGTTTTTTTTTTGACAAACTTCCTATCAGATTCTGATTATTAAAGTTCTTTTAACTCCCAGCTGACTTTGGGATAATTCAGAGGGTCCCTGAGGCATCTCAGAGAAAAATATTAAACTAACTAGGATTGGCTGGTGTGTTGGACTCCACAGGAAGCATTGTCAAATGAGTGATAAGCTGCCTTAGATTGTACAATATGAATAAATGTTATTAATATAGATATTCTAGAAATTATATAAAGTTTCTGAAATTTGGATATGTCCTGATAGAATGCTGTTAGTCATGGTTTTGGTTGTCATCTTGAGATGTTTTATGTCACAGCAACTTGGTGAAGTTTCTATGCCTAGAGCATTGTAGTCAAGTCTTTTGACCTTGCTGTTTTGGCGTCTTTCGTCGTCCATGGATGGTTAAGCTGATGCTTTGCAGGGTGCTTCATCTTCAGGAGGGTTTGTAGAGAGGACTTTTTGAAAAGTGCAAGTTTCTTTTGAATCATAGTGCTGAACTAGGTAAGATATTTAAAAAGTTTTAATAGAGACTGATTTTGTAGAACTATTAGTAAAAAGGGTTGGTTACATGGCATTGAATGAATTGGTGAATATAGTTTTTGGTTTTGTCTGGAATAATGCTGGTTTCTAATCTGTTTTCTAATTGAGCTGTTTACCAGGTGTTTGTCTCTCTATCAATATATCTCCCAGTGTTTGGGATAGAAAGAGGATTCTCTAATGAAGTTGTCACAGAATATACCTTTTCATGATGTATAACAATGCTTGTTTCAAGTCTTACTAACCTCAATGTTCATAGCAGCACTATTTACAATAGCCAAGAAATGGAAACAACCTAAATGTCCATTGACAGATGACTATATAAAGAAGCTGTGGTGTATTTATACAATGGAATACTACTCAGCCATAAAAAAATAATAAAATAATGCCATTTGCAGCAACATAGATGGACCTGGAGAATATCATTCTAAGTGAAGTAAGCCAGAAAGAAAAAGAAAAATACCATATGATATCACTTATATGTGGAATTTGAAAAAAAGAGACACAAATGAACTCTACCCTACGAGCGCCCTATGCCTGGACCATGGTACATACTGGTCCCAACCAGCATCCCAGGTGCAGCCTCCCCTCACCCTGCTTGGTCTGCTTTATGGGCTCTAGCTCCTGGTTACACCCGTGCCCTTGCTTCCATCTTTTCCTCTTCCTCAGAACCCCATTCTCTGTCCCCTTCAGCACCCGCTCCCCACATGTGTCATTGTCCCTCTTGTCCTGTGCTTCCCTTGAGCTGTCTGGTGGCTCAGGATGGACATTGCAGTTTTCTGCTTACTTAGCTTCCATCTCTGTCCATCCACTGGGGTGCAGATCCCGTCCAGTTGAGTTCAACACGTATTGTCTACCTGGCAAGAGATGCCAAGGGGAATGAAACGAGTCTGTCCTTAGGGAGCAAGTTACAAACCCTGGTAACCAGCCCCCATGATGTGCTAAGTGTCATGGAAAAGATTCCCACAGATCATCACCCTACTGTCTGTCCATGCTCAGTTCTTCAGGTCCAGCTGGCACTTTTTAGCTCTTATTATACAAGAAACTTAATCTTTAAAAGTTTGTTTTTCTAAGCAGGTGGCGAGTAGCTTCTGCCTCTGTCACCTCCTTGTAGCTTACACGGAGCAAGGGACACTGAGTGACAGGGCACGAGGTGTGTCCACAGAGCACACGCTTCTCAATGAGAAATGTTCCTGTGCTCCTAGAGGGAGATGCTGGTTTTGGAAGGTTGCTCAGAGTTGACCAGGGCCTATGTAAAATTTACAGTTCGGCTTCTACAGAAAGTTGGCTTACAATGGAAAACTGCTTCACATATCTGCTTAAGAAAAGCCCTTTTAAGGCTCCACTTAAAACCCTCAACCTGTACAGTCACTAACACTCGTACGTGAAGAGCTTCTGCGTAGCAGCAAATGTTTCTGTGACATGAGTAGAAATGTCGGGAGAGGCCGTGTTCAAACTTTCAAACATCAGCTGCATGTTGCTCTTGCATCCCTTGAGGACCTTGTACAGGGGGCTCCTGGTCCTCGGAGGGGCTGCACAATCCCTTCTTTGAACATCTCCTTCAGAAGTGGAGACGTTCCCTGTGGGAGGGGGAGGAGTGTGGTGTGGATGACACTAGCCTGATACCCTGCAGGCCTGTCGGATGCGAGTGCTTCCATGAGCTGTGAGCTGAGCTGTGGTTAGTCTGGATAACGCATCACACGTTTCAAGGCATAAAGGCCATTAGGAAGTTGATTTGGATAGCATGACATGGACTAGTGTTTCCAGGGTATTTTGTCATAGACATCTAGCACTTAGCAGTTGCTTAGTAAATATTTGTGGAGTGAACGAATGAAACACAAACCTTTCCCCAGGGTTGGTGCCTCACTTACTAAAAGCTGCTTGCCGCGCAGAATCGAGGGACTCAGCACATGTCTCCATCCGGGGGCAGCGAGGGCTCCAGGTCTCAGCATCCATGATTTCATCCCCAGGGAGCGGGGAGGCCCAGGACTGAAACCACAGCCCAACTGTCCCTCTCCAGTGATCCCTGACTTGGCCACCCAGGTCTTCCCAGGATAACCTCCCCGCCCCTTTATAGCCAGCTGTCCACACAGGAGGATGCTTTCTGCCGAGGTAGAGAACAATTTTAGGTCTTAGAACAACTTTTCAAAAAATATTTTGAATACAATTCAATAAGAGCACATTTTATTTTATGAACCAGGAAAGATAACCAAACAATATATAGTTAAAAGCTTCACAACACAGCAGTTAGCCTTACTACACGTGATGCACTGATCTCTCTCTTCCAGTTGCGTCCACTCATCCCAGTAAAGAAACATATGACACCCAACTCATCTTACAATTCCTACTGGTTGAGACTGGTATTTTGAAAACAAGCACACAGTGATCCGGAGGAGGGATGGGATTCAGACACTCCAGCTCAGGGCCCGGCAGCTCAGGATGGTGGTCTCCCCACGCGCACACCCGGGAACACACCTGGGTCACAGGGAAGTGTGATGTAAATCCCTCTCCTCTAGAATCTGAACAAGAAAGCTTAAAGGAGACATCTTTGCTTCTATATCTAAAATACTATAAATAAAATACCAGTAAGGTTCTTAACCATGACCTTCCACAGGAAAGCGGTTGCTTCTGACTGCCCCGAGAGGAACTCTCAAGAGCAGAAAGACTGTGTGGCTGCAGTTCCAGCCTGTCCCCACATAGTGCTACCAAGCAGGGGAATGGCTGGACCCTGGGCCGTGAGCCCTCTCCATCAGTGTCCCCACCAACAACTTCTCAGCCTCAGCTGTGATAGCTTGTGATGCTTGGGGAAGGGGGTAGAGTGTGCAGTGTTCTGCTACCATATTTGACCACAGAATCCTTTTAAAAAATACTCCCTGAAAATCTGCAGAACACACTGTCGGGACTAACCCAAGTGAGCACTGTCTGCTGCTTCCAGAGTCGGAAGAAACACTGTATGGACAGGAGATGGCAGGACCAGGGTGTTAGGATGCTTCAAGGGGACTTGAAGGCATCACTGTATATAACTCATCACATGAAAAAGTAACAGAACCTTGTCAGCATGTGGAGCGGCCCTTTGTTTGTGGAAGCACCATTTGTAGTTGACAACTGAGCAAGCTGTATCCTGCCCACCTCCTGGAGGTGCCATTCATACACACCCTGGCGTGACTGAGGCCCTTTGGAGTTGAGCGAGGCAGCAGCAGCCCTCTGAAAACAGGTTTATATTTAACACTGTAAAACAAAACAGAGTTACAGAGTTGTTGATCAGAATGTCCAGCACAGTCCTGTCACCCTTGACTACATCCATTGGCTTGGGCGTTTCTCAGGGTGGGAGTGGCTGAAGCTCTTAAAGACTGGAGTTCAGACTCAGACCCAGGACTCGGTTCCATCACCATTGAAACAGGAATGATGAGAACCCTTATCCCACCAAGCCGAGGTGAGTAAGGCATGTTCAAGCTCTTGTCAGTGTCATCAGCCGTCACTTTGTTGGGAAGCCACGTCCGCTGCAGCTCCCTGCCTTCACACTTGTGACCATACACCTTCAGCCAGTGGTGCTGAGAGAGCCCCGGGGCAGTGTCAGCGAAAAGTGGGTTGCAACACACTCATTCATACACAGTAGTTCTGAAAGAGGGTATTGTTCCTAAACTTTTTGATTTGTTCTGAACCTGAGAGAGGTGGGACCCCTGAACACTGGGCTCTACATAGAATTCCTTTCACTTGCTTCTAAACATTTTTGCTGCCAAATATAGACATTAGGTAGTTTTTGGATCAAAACTCTCATCCTGGATTCCTTGTATATGTACCATCACATTTACATCCAAAACATAAAACCAAAATACACCCCTGATCTGTCACATGACCATTTTTTTGGCAGCATGTCTCTGGATCACTTGTTAACCAGAAAATGAACAGTCGTATTTCCCAAGAGTAGGAGAATGAGGACTTACGAAAGCTCCCCAGAGCACGTTTCGTGATGTGGGAGTTCAGGAGAATAAAATGAATGCCCCAAGGAGGTACACGAAAGGAAAACCAAAGAGATTGATAGGTACATCTCATACCTTTATTTTGTTTGGTTGGTTTTGTCTTTAAATCATACTAAGTTGTTGACCAACCTGCAAAATGTCAACCACTTTTTCCATTTCTTCCTAACAGCATCTGGTTCCCCTCTTGCGGTTATCTCCCTACAGAGCAGTTTTCCCTTTAGTCCCAGCACTGTGGGACCAGGGGCACGGTGCTTGGCCGCGCTGGTTGCCGACGTCTGTGGGTTAGCGCTGGTCTCTGTGCAGCCAGCGGTGTTGCCTCCAGGGTCCTCAGCCTCCCCGCTTCTGCAGAAACCTCTCTGTCTGGACCGTCTGGCTAGCAGCAGTTTCCAGGCAGCGGCTCTATACTTCTTTGAGATGAGGTTGTAGAGGATGGGGTTGATGGAGGCGCTCAGATAGAAAAGTTGCAGAGCAACAGTGTTGAAGTACTGAGAGAAGTACATCATCCGGGAATCTTTGGTATTTATGTAAATAATTCTGCCCACGTGGAAAGGCAACCAGCAAACTGTAAACGCCAGAACCACCACCACTGCAAAACAAGACACAGGCACCAGAAATTAACTAAAGCATCCAAAATAAATAAGCATCCCTGGCAAACTATCTGCAGTAATAAATAACAGCAAAATAAATAAAACTCTTACCTAGCCAAATCCCCACCCCAGAAAAACTATCACTCTGCAGACAGCATCGATATTTGCTTTAGAACTGATGTGCTCATACATGTGCTATCAAGGCTGGACATAAACCAGAAGGAGCGGTTTCTACTAACAAGCTGTTCTGGCCGGCTTCCTTCCACAAACCCACTTCAGAGACATGTTCTCTGTTTTCCGTTGAAAAGAATTCTGCAACAAGTCTGCACCACCTTTTATTTTTTGACTTTAGTCTTGGGATAACTTAACAGTAAGTAAACTTGATCTTAACATGATCTACCCCATCTCCAGGGGACTGTGTATAATTCCACATCTGCTCCATCTAACAGAGACAGGCAGTTGGCTTAGGAGCCTCCAATTACCCATTTTGGATCAGCTCAGCCCGCCGATCACAGTTGCTTTGGAAAACCGTTGTTGTTTACCGGAGCCGGGTATCTCACCCTCAGAGAGAGGGGGAGGCTTGAAGTGACCCAGACCTCCTGCAGGACAGTAGACGGTTTTCTCTGGAGACTAGAGGGACGGACAGGTGGAGGCTGGGGTAGAACGACAGAAAGAAGCATGGCTAGAAGAGGTGCCCAAGTGCTGGGAGACCAGGGGAAGGGGGCACAGCCTGGACCGCGACTTGGGATGTCAGAAACGGGCCGCGCCACTTACGCAGGACGCGGACCGTCTGCCGGTGACCCTTCTCCCGCCCGGAGGCGGCCGAGCCTCGCAGAGGCCCACGGCTCCTCCACAGCTCCCGCCCGATGAGCCCGTAGAGGACGCTGAGGCGCAGGAAGGGCAGGAAGAGGTAGGCGGTGGTGACCCATAGCGTAACGCGCAGCGCGCCGAGCTGTCCGGGGTTCGGCCGGCGCTCGCGGCTGAACAGCGTGGCGGCCACCGCCGCCTCGGGTCCCGACGGCGGGAACAGCGGTGGAGCTCCCGAGGACCCGAGGGGTAGCGGCGAGGGGCGGGGCGAGGGGATGAGCTGTGTGGTGCCGTTGAAGTCCTGGACTGCGAAGCGGCCGCGGTCCTGCTCGACGCCCACCAGAAAGAAGAAGGGCCCAGCGGAGAGCAGCGCCACGGCCCAGAGCGCAACGATGAGTGCGCGGACCCGGCGCCGGGTGACGAGGACGCGGGCGACAGATGGCGAGGTAGCACTCGACGCTGAGCGCAGTCATGTGCGGCAGCGTGGCGTAGGTGCAGCCCTCGCCCACGTAGAGCGAGAGGCGGCAGAGCAGCTGCCCGAACACCCAGGGCCGGGAGCGCCAGAGGCGGTAGAGGTCGAAGGGGAGCCCGAGCAGGATGAGCAGGTCGGACACAGCCATGCTGCCCAGGTACGAGTTGGTGGTGGTCCGCATGTCCCGGTAGCGCCCGATCAGCAGCACCGTCACCACGTTCCCGCTCACCCCGACGGCGAACAGTCCTAGGCACACGGCGGTCACGGGC